GCTGATGAGCTCCCGAAGCCTGGCTGGAAGATAATCCCGGATTGTCTAATTGACGTTCCTTATTTGTCATGTAGCATTTAAAGATAACAGTGAGCGACTGTGACTTATCCCCACAGCTGCCGTGCTTCAGCTTCTGCCTTCGCCTTTCGGGGCGATTCTTGCAGATGGGGGGCTTTGTGCGGGCGAACGCGGTGCCGGGCGCGCCGGAGCCTGGCGGGGAGCTGAGCCCAGATGAGAGGAGGCTGGAGCGAGCGAGGGCGCTTTGCTGCTGCCTGGACTCGAGCCCAGTTCGGGATGCTGCGTCCGCCGCTGGCCGAGCGCGGGCCTGCAGTCCCAGTTTACAAGCGGCAGAGGCTTGGTGCATGACCAGACCTGCCCTGGAGAGGTCCGTTTTGGGGTGTCAGAGGGTGCGTGCACCAGCATGGGGCAATATGTGCTCACCCCAGCTGCCTTCCCCTTGTGCTGTGCTGGCGTTTCAGGCAGTAGGTCACCGTCACTGGCACCTCTGGGAGCAGAGAGACTTTGCCACGGCGCAAAGCAGCGGCCTGGAGACCCTGTCCTTACCTCTGCCCACCTGCGAAGTGGGATTTCTGTTCAGCAGCAATGAGATTTTTAGTGGCATGGGCTTTTTAGCAGGAAAACAGACTCTTGATCTGTTTTCAGGCATGTGCCAGATGTGACAGTGTCTTGTCGAGGAGGATGACGGCCATGGTGGAGGTGCGGTAGCTGGAACATTTGCTTGGAAGACTTGGGTTGAGGTAGCGCTAGTGGGGACTTGGGAAGAGCCTTGTTTGGTGCTGTCACCTCCACAGGGGTCTCCAGGGACTGGAGTAGACAGCCCTTGAATATCATCTGGGGATGCTGGCTGTTGCAGGTGGGTCTCGTGCCCGTACGCGTTGAAAACCTGGAGCAGGCTTTCGGTTGCCACGGGTGCGGAGCGGGGAGCTTGCTCCTCCTTGTGTCCTAGCAAGTGCTGCGCCAGTGCTGGGAGGCTTTGCTGAGGCGAATGAGAGGTTTGTCACCATCTAATTTAATGAGGCCAAGGAAGAGGTGAGAGGTGAGCCCGGCTCTGCAATTGCTTCCTGGTGGCAAAATGAGCTGAAACCTCTGGTGCCCTGGGAGATGAGGCCTCGTTTTTATCATTAGACTTGACGTGCTGGCAGCGCCGCAGGCTGCGAGGCTATTGTTCGTGTTCCCTTCTGCTCACTGCCTAAATCCAGAGGCATCCTAATGGGTGCTCCTCCGTGCCAGGCTTCCCTTGGCTGGTCACAGCTTGCTGGTGGGGAAGGACAGGAGAGGTTTGTGCCTCTGCTCCTGCTCAGGGGACTCCCATGGGCAGCAGAGAGCAATGGGGTGCCCAGAGCAGGCTGAGGCAGGTCCCAGGCTGAGGTGGGTGCCATGGGCTTGGGCCCCAGGGTCATTTGCACGCCCCAATGCTGCAGGGAGCTGCTGCATCCGTCTTCTCCCTCCCACCTTGGCTGCCGGAGGGTGCTGGGTCTGGCCAGCGTGGTGGCTCTGTGCATGAGAGCACGAAGCTCCCCAGCCTGGGAATGGGCCAGCACCCTCCTCTCCTCCGTCCCCTCCAGGGGCCTGGCCCCATCGAGCAAAGCAGTGGCCGAGTTTCTGCAGTGTCCCAGCACGCGGTGACCTGTCTGTGGCACCTCTTGCCTGCCCATGCTGCCACCACCGCTGGTGATGTCTCAGCCCTGTTGGGACCCAGAGCCAGCGAATCTGCTCCTGGGTGTTGCGGCAGGGCTGTTGGTGGCACCCTGCCCCTGCTGGGATGTGCTCACTTGGGGAGGTGCTGCTGCCTGGGGGTTCTCGGGATGCTTGGTGGCCCTGGGACAACCTGTCCTTCGGCTCCTTCCTGATGGGCCCGGCACAGGCTCTCGCTCTTGTCCCTGTGTTGCCTCTTCTCTCCTCGCCTCGCATCTCCTCTCCAGGCTCCCTCCCTCGCTTGCCTGGCTCCCTCCTCTGACACATCTTTTCCGAGACGACCTACATTTTTCTTGCTGTAGCTGCTGCTGGCTGCGTTGCCGCCTGCAGAGAATCCTCTCCCTGCCCCCATCTCCCTCTTTATTTCACTTCAGATGTTTACGGGCACTCGAGCCGTCTCCCCGGGGCCGCCCTCCTCGCAGCTTTGGCTCAGCCGGCGCGGCGAGCCCCGCACGTGGCCGTGTCCCTCCCCAGGGATGGCCTCGGGGAGAGACACGGAGCCCCCAGGTTTGGAGGACTCCACAAGCTCTCGTTTGGGGCAGGAGAGGGAGGTGGTGGCTTTGACCAGGCTTCACCCTGCGGGCATGGCGGGGTTTGGAGAGAGGACGAGGACTTGGGGATGGTTGTGCCCCGTGCTCGGTGATGCTGTGTCGGATAGAGCCCCACATCCTGCTGTGGGCTCCTGCTCCTGGGGTTTCGGCGTACTGAGGACTCCTGCTCCTGGGGTTTCGGCATCCTGCCGTAGTGCGGTGGCAATCTTGAGCTGTTGAGTTGGAGGGGTTTGCATGCTGCGGCTTGGAGACAGGGTCCTGTGGCACAGCTGTGACTTGCCCGGGGTCCCGGTGTGGCCCTGGGGCTGGTGAAGATGGTGGCCGCTGACCGCCCTGGAGCCAGGGCAGACACGAGGCCGAGAAGGTGCTGGGCAGGGAGGTGACCTTGGGCCGGGGCTTTGCGGCTCTTGCTGTTTCCCAGGCTGCTATTGGCCCCTCCAGCAATAGGAGCGAGTTACCAGCAGCCGTCTGCCTCTCCCAGCACGTGCCACGGTCTCCTGGGATGGACTTAAGGCCACTGCCCTTGCCTCCTCTTCCAGATAGTGTCCGCATTGCGCTGGTCTCAAGTGCAAGTGGAGCAGAAGACCGTATCGCTTGTGCGGCTGCAGTCAGAGCGCTGAGTCCCACCTTGTGCTTCGTGAGTGATGGCACACCCTTGAGCAGACGAACGGGAGAAACTGGGCCCTGACAGCTCCTCTGCGCTGCAGGATGGTGCCCTCTGTGTGAGTCAGGGACCACTTTTCGGCAGTGAGTCGTTTTTGGTGGCTCAGTTTCCCATCTGGATGGGAATGGTGGTTCAGGACTGGTGCCTGGAAGAGGCATGAAGGGCCATGGCATCTGCAGAGGCGTGCAGCGCTCTTCAACTGGCTGTGGCTCTCGTGGCATCACCGCAGCCCACCGAAGCCCTCCAGCTCCTCCCCTTCCCTGGTGCACGGGCGGTCGTGTCTGGTGCCAGCTCCGGGACTGGGCACTGAAATGGTGCTCTTCAGGCGCGGGGATGACTTAACATCCGTGACGCTGGCAGGAGGTCATTTCTGAGCCGGAGGGGCTCGGTGCCACGGCAGCAGCGCGGGGCTGGTTTTTGCCTGGGGTGTGAGCCTGCTGCGCGTTTATCTCCCGCCGCATATGGGCTGCGTGGCACGGCATCCTGTAATCTCCCGGCGCTAGTTCGCTGTGTTGGCGTCAGCGGGGAGCCGCGACGTGGCGCGAGAGCCTACAAAGGCCCGTCTCGGCGTGGGTCGCGTCGCCTTGCCAGCAGAGCTGGGAGGCGGAGAGCCGACCCCAGCGTTCGGGAGCGAGGTCCCGTCCCCACCGCCTCGGTCGGAGGGTGTCCGCGCCGCTCCCGGAGCGCAGGCGAAGAGCCTGACGGGGGTCCTCCGCAAAGCTGCTTGGAGGAGTTTGTGTGGCTAGAGCTGAGCTCTGGCCGTGGAGCCGAAGGAGTGGGGAGACGCGGGTTGCAGTCCAGCTCTGCGTGGCCTGGGCGGGCCACGTTACATGCTATAATTGCAACCGTGCTCTGTCCTGGAGAAGGAGGATCAGTGGTGTCCAGCAGGCACTGAGCCTCTTCTCTGGAAAGGAGGGTTTGATTTACTTTTTCATTTAGTGTCTTTTTAAGCCTAGACTTAGTCAGTGTTGCTCCGTTTCCAGTGGGACTTCTCCCTGACGTTCCTGGGGCACTGGGAGCTTTCTCAAGCCTTAGCCAAACGGAGCTCCAAGGGAGCGGAGAGGGGTTTTCTCCTGCAGGCTCACAGAGCGTTGCGGTTACATGCTGACCGAAGCCAGGCGGCAGCACCTGGCCCCCGACAGAGCGTGGGCTGGTGGTTTCTGTGGTGCAATGCCCATGGTATGGCCCTGCCACGCTACAGGAGCTCTGGAGCAAAGCAAAGAGCCTCTGTCATAAACCGGCTCCTGCTCCTGGCCCTGAGTCCCCACGTTGCCTCCTGGCCTGCTCCGGGGTACACAGTGCCATTCGACTCGTGGGATGGCACATCGGTCACCGCTGCTTGGTTTCAGACCTCTCCCTGGGCCCTTCCTGAGAGGGGCTGTTTGTAGGTGCTGGGAGGCAGCTGTGGTCTAAGGAGAAAGAGTCCTTTGCTGTGACCAGGCCATGTCACTTGGTAGAGCAGGATGTCACCCTTTGGGGACTCATGGGCATGCAGTGTTTGTGGGCTGGGAGGTGACTTGTGGGGTCAGCCCCACTGCGTAAAGCCCTGATGGAGCTTCGCAGAGCCCTGATGCTTTGCAGTTAGCGGCAGGGCAGCATCTCCAGCCCCTTCCGCCTGTGCCCTCTCATGGCCTTTGCTCCCGTGGTTGGGCTCTGGGGCACCGAAAGCAGCAGACCATGGGCGTTCAGGCTGTAGCGTCAGGTTTCCTTCCCCACGACGAGGACGGGGAAGGGGCCACTCGCTCGCGCGTGGCAGAGGAGTTGATCTGCGGCAGAGCCGGGGGCAACGTGGCCAACGCAGCGCCCCAAGCTCCAGGGCTGCAGCCTCTGGCCAAGGAGGCAACAAGGGTCTGGGCGTCTGGGGAAAAGGCTCGTGGGGTGGAGGAGGGAGCCTCAGCTGCTGGGGGCCTTGAGGAAAGGAGGAGATAAAGCTGGTAGGATGTGGCTGCAGGGATTGCATCAGTCTGTCCTATGCCGGTGTGTGCCATGGGCACCTGGCAAAGCTGGGTGTGCGGGGCAGGTCCTGGCAGTGAGAAGTAGTGGCCGTGGGGCGCCGCGTGGGGCAGGCCTCTCTGATGCACGTCTCCCCTCAGGATGAGATCGAGGAGCTGCGCGCGGAGATGCTGGAGATGAGGGACGTCTACATGGAGGAGGACGTCTACCAGCTGCAGGAGCTCCGGCAGCAGCTGGACCAGGCCCACAAGGACTTCCCCCA